GACTCATTTGAGGATACCAATAGATGCTTGGTGAGAAGAATTCGAGAGGCAGAGATCAGAGAGGCTATAAAGAGGATGAAGAGAGGTAAAGCAATGGGCCCTGATGGTATTCCTATTGAGGTGTGGCGATGTTTGGGCGCCAGAGCGTTAGTATGGTTAACTAAGCTTTTTAACCTCATCTTTCGGTCAAACAAGATGCCTGATGAATGGAGGAGAAGTACCTTAGTACCGATCTTCAAGAACAAGGGTGATGTTCAAAGTTGTGGTAACTACCGTGGGATTAAGTTGATGTGCCATACGATGAAGCTCTGGGAGAGGGTTATCGAGCATCGCCTACGACGAGTGACGAGTGTGACCCAAAACCAATTTGGGTTTATGCTTGGAAGGTCGACCATGGAGGCGATTTTCCTAATACGACAGTTGATGGAGAGATATAGGGACCAAAAGAAGGACTTGCACATGGTCTTTATCGACCTTGAGAAGGCTTATGACAGAGTACCGAGGAATGTCATGTGGTGGGCCTTAGAAAAGCACAAAGTCCCATCTAAGTACATTACCCTCATCAAGGATATGTACAAGGATGCGATGACGTGTGTTCGAACATGTGGGGGCGATACCAGCGACTTCCCAATTAAAATAGGACTACACCAGGGGTCAGCATTGAGCCCTTATTTATTTGCCTTGGTGATGGATGAGGTCACAAGGGACATACAAGGTGATCTCCCTTGGTGTATGCTCTTTGCTGATGATGTGGTGCTAGTTGACGAGAGTAGGGCCGGGGTAAATAGGAGGTTAGAGCTGTGGAAGGACACGTTAGAGTCAAAAGGCTTCAGACTTAGTAGGACGAAGACCGAGTACATGACGTGCGCTTTCAGCATGGCTACTCATGATGATGGTGATGTTAGCCTTGACGGGCAAGTGGTGGCCAAGAAGGAGACTTTCCGGTATTTAGGATCGATGCTACAAAAGGATGGCGGCATTGATGAAGATGTTAGGCATAGAATTGCAGCCGGTTGGTTGAAATGGCGTCAAGCTTCGGGCGTTCTCTGTGATAAGAGGGTGCCACAAAAGCTAAAAGGTAAGTTCTATAGGACGGTGATTCGTCCGGAGATGCTATACGGTGCTGAATGTTGGCCTACAAAAAGGCAACATGTCCAACAACTAAGTGTAGCAGAGATGCGGATGTTGCGTTGGTTTTGCGGGCACACAAAAAGAGATAG